GTACACATATCTGCCACTTTTAACTGCTCTGGTATTTCAAAAGTTTTACAAAATGAATTTCATCAAAGTTCTAACAAATCTAACATATTTATATATATCTATATAATAACTTATACCGTTACTGCATTACTTTCTAAGTCACGAAGAATTCAAGGGAAAACAAGCAAGTATATATATATAGTTTATATAAAGCATGTTGCAAAATTATGAAATAAATTATAAAATATGAAATTTAAAAAACAAAAGTTTGGTTGACTTGAATAATTAACTATCATGTATCCTGATTTATTTCACTCTCGCTAAGAAACGGAGCATCCATTCGTCATCTATTTCTCCGCAATATCCTTCATTTGACCAGCAAATATAATTCAAAGAAAACAACACATCTTTCGTGGACTGATTCTTATGCTTCCGTTTCTGAATTATATACGCACGGGTTTCTCATATATATTTTATTGCTAAAATATTCGGTATTGAAAAGTAATTACAATATCGCAAGCCATCTTAGTAGTTACATATTGATTGAACTGTTTAACGACTACTCGGTTGGTTGATTGTGGGAAGGTGTCCCTTATATGGAGTGGAAAAAATCGTTTTTATATACACGTGCGGTTTGTTCCAAACCTCTGTAAACTGAACGACTATAGTAAACGATGCAATGAAAGCATCATTTAAAATATAAAATCACACTCTTCTCTCGTGAAAAGGTAAATTTAACCAGCTACGTTTGTACCTCTATGAAATAGCCTCCAACATTTCAGTATCGTTCTTTGCACTGTTATTTATATCTTGTAATGTGCAAGTTATTTTGGACCAATATGAATACAACGACCTATGACGAACATGCAGCAAAGGTCAATCAACTCCTGAATGTACAATATAATATAACCAAGACATAAGTCAATGAACTAAATGCATGACTGCTTTCTTCTGTATAATAATAACTTGTACATATGCATGTTAAGAATAAACCATTTTTTGTTTTATCTAATACATTTTATAAAGAGACTATTTTTTAAAATTAGCTATGCATAAAGAAAAATAACAAAAGAATATAAGTCTATATACATATTTGATTTATCCAAGAAAAAAATCGCGTGTGGATTAAATAATGTTGTGAGTTTACAAAAACTTAATACTCGCAAAAAAATTTCATCAGATATACATTACAAATAAGTCGTATATGTATTGCCATCCAACAAACAATAAATCGATGCATGATCTATCGTGTAATGTACTTAGTAAAATTAGTACGACAATCTATAATGTGTTTCTATACAGAATAAACTATTTTTTTATACAGAATTGTAATGTGTATATTTTACTAAAAGTCTATTATTTTTACGGAGTGCATTTCAGATTAATGGATATTTTTATTTTTTACTTGATTTTAACTTTTTCCTAAAGTGGTCACAGCAATAAAACAATTAATTTTAATTTCTAACCCATTTAAACCTCACGCGTAGAATATGTAATACGAATATTTTTTTTTTATTATTATTATTTTTTTTAATATAGTTTGACTAGGGAGTCTCTGATGACTTGATTCGTATGCCATGTTTACAATTTTGCTCCTGTTACGCAGAAACTGTACACATTAATATATATATCTGAACTATTTGTATCACCTTTAATGGGAATAAAAATATACACAACTCTAACACATAAAGTATAAAATGTCCGTATAAAATGCATATAGAATTTAAAGATTTTTTATTTTATGGAAAAGAAAATAAAAATATTAAAAAAAAAATAATAATAAAAAAAAAACAACTTCAAGAGATATACCAAAAGCTCTGTGAAATGCCTTAGTATATTGTTGCTGAAAATTTATTGAAATAAAGATATTTAAATTCTCATTCTTTCTAGTATACTTTACTTTATTTATACATATATCTCAATCTTCATATATCAATTCAACTCAACTTATAACATATAAGTCATCAAAGTCTGTCGGGTATATCACACTAAAGATTCATCTTTGATTCGCGTAAATGCGACAAAAAATAAATAAATATAAACTAGATGAATAAATAAAAATATTGAAAAACATAAAAATGATTCACGTATCCGCAATATAACCGCTCACCAAGACTCGCCATAAACAACCAATATACACGCAAAACAAAAGTAAGAATACAGATTAACAAAATGAAACAAGAACGACAAAAGAAAAAAATGATATCAAATACTTAAAATTAAATTGAAAGTGAGAAATTGCAAAGAATATACACGTCCTAAGGGATTTATTCTAAATAAGTTATCTTTCAAACGTAGCCGAGTATTATAAATACAAATTATAAGCTATATTGAGCGACGTTGAAATTGCCGATGTTTTGTGTATGCCAAAAAAAAAAAAAAAAAATTAAGAAAAAGAAGAAAGAAAGAAAAAGAAAAATATAAATAAATAAATAATAAAACTAAAACTAAAAAATATATAAAACAAAAATATATTGTAAACTATAATTCACATTACTATTTTTGGACACATTTTGGCTCTGTGCCGATCGATTTCATGCATATGCTTCATGGGAATAAAGATACGACTTGAATAAAAATAATTACATTTGTCTAATTAATATTTATATGTATTTATTTACAGAGTTATAACGATGTGAAGACTACATTGAAAGTGTTGGTTCCTCAATTCATTTATAAAAAAAAAAAAAAAAAAAAAAACAGTTTTTGAATGTTTTCAAATTAAACAATGAAAATATATACATTTGATTCCCTCAGATTCAATATATATAATTTTTGTGCATTGTATATTTAGAGAATAAGTGCTTTGGCCGCTTGATTTGTGTTTAACTTCCGTGAATAGATAAATGGTTGAATGTATTTGACGTGGTGTAGGAAAATTAATTTTGTGTAAAGAAATTAATTTATATATGAATAAATGGAGTTGGAGATGTAAGAGATAAATTTAGCTAAACATGTATATTAATTTTAAGCATGAAATATGCTTGTAAAGGGACACAAGACAACGTGTCCGTAATAACCATATTAAGATTTATTATGTAAAATACAAAAATAATTTTTGAAGTGATATGCTTTCAATTGTCTTAAGATAACTTTTTTATATTTGAATATCAATCCAATTTATCATCACTCTACTCTATTTTTTATTTACAAATAACATATTCAAAATATGACAAAACTTTACAAGGACTTGATATGCGCTTTATTTATATTTTCAAACAGGTATAAAAATCTTATCATTCTTTAATTTTCGTGTGTAAGCCATGTTTCTTAAATAATTACAAAATTATCGGTATATTTTCCCCCCCGTTCTCCCGTATATACAGTGATATCAGATGATTTTATCCTTTTTTTGGCTGAAAATTGCAATCGGTTATTCAGCTATAAACTGGTGATGTAGGTATTTTTTTAATAAGAATTGAATGATGTGTTAAAACATACTTCATAGTAATTTCCCAATGTTTTTTGTTTAATTTTAACATTTGATTGTTTCGTTTAGTGTCTTTTTATAATCTTAATATTGACTACTTGGGAAATCTTTTCTTTACAAATCAGTTTGAGAATGAAGTTCCAGATGTTTTGAAAATCTGGGTCAATCTCGAATAAATTTCTTTTGTGTGTCGTTTTTCACAAGTTCACAGAAGAAAGTTATTGATTGTCTGGTTTTTGATTGGCCAGAATGATCTGTTACTAAAAATAAATGAAAAACTACACAATGCGACCACCAATGATATGTCACGTGATTACTCATAGTTGCATTTTAGCGTCGTTACATTTATTTAATATTGCAAATAAACAAGGGATTTTATTTTATAATAGATAATGATACAGCTATAAAGGTAGGTTGAGTTTTATCAACTTTATATACGCAGTATATATTCGTTAGATCGTTGTTTATCACAGTGTATACATGTATCTAAACGGGTCGTAAGTTTTGTTTGACCTCACACATTAAATGAGATACATTCAAAATGGCGGTCGTTAAATCCCCCCGACAATTTTGTCATAATATAAACATCGTTTTTATTATTAAACAATCAGAGTTAAATTAAAATAGTGTTGTCTTTGATTTACAAATTGTATGTGGTTTTGAACAAAAGCGTTTGTTTGACAAGTTCTCTATCAATTTACCACAAATAGCTTATAGTGTGATGATCTATGTTTTGCCAGTCACGGGTCATTGTGTAAAGATAATAGGACCCAGGGTTCACAATGGAATAATCAATAATATAATTTTGCATATATTCAGCTTTTAGATAGTTCAAAATTTTATGTTAATATTTGCATTATTTGATATTTGTTTACACATACTATTGTAGTAATGTGTGGTTTGGGAGTGTGTTAATATCAGAAAATAGATGTATTAATGAAAAAACTATTATAACTACAATAAACAACATTTATATTTATTTTGAAAATAGCGTATTAGTTTTATTTTAAATCACTGTTTTCAAATACACTATTAGGTGTAAAGTTTTTCATTTTAGTTTGTACACATCTTTAAATATTTAATTTACAATATTTTAATATTTATAATAAACAAATAGCTGTTGTTACTGAATTTTAAAAGAATTACAAATATACAAAAGCTGCAAATAATTTTGTTTCTAACTTGTCTTTGAAGTATTAAATCCCTTTTTTCCTGGAGAATAAAAAACAATTCTAAAAATAAATTTGCTGTAATAATAAAATTATATTTTTGATAAATTTAGTTGTGAAATCATTATGACTGTGTGATAAGAATATTTCAATTCATATGTTATTGAGTGGGGATTATTTGAAACCTTGTTGAAAGGAAATCTTTCAATTTGAACACAGACTTCGACCTCTCACGGCAGATGTTCAAAATTTTACTGACACACCAGAGAGACAAAGAAAAAAATGAATTTAATTTGTACTAGCAGTCGCCGGAATTAGTCGATGAAGAATGTAGAGATAAACGTTTATATTAATGATTAATTTTATTTGTGATTAACCGAGCATTAAACCTATGGACAGGCTACATATATATTTATAAATATTGGCCAGAATACCCTTGACCGCAATACACACAATCACGTGATCTAGACAACCAATCAGCAGTAAGAACATTTCACTGCAAGAAGATTTGTCATTTGTGAAAATGTAAGTTACTCTAATGTCACGGATTTTTTGTAAGATTAAACTGCAATGCGACATAGGGATCAGATTTAAATGGGTTCATCACTTTGAATGAAAAAGTTACCAGGGTTCTTAAGCATAATGATATCACAGATTATCACAAGGTTGCCAAATTTGCTGACGAGATTTTACAGTAAACAATGAACCTGCAACGGTTAAACGTGAAATTTATGAGTTTTGCGATTCATGTTGAAGGTAGACAAAGTAAAAAATATAATTTTACTATAATGTGTTCATTTGCCTAGGAAGACCGTGTAATTGAATATATAGCATAGAGGTATCTACAACTATAGACTGAACTATATATATCAGTATGGAATACAGTTTTCAGCAATAAATTTTATATTATTTAACACCAATAGCATGTACATAATATATATATTATATGTTTTACGGTAATGATAAGGATAAACGTTGTTGAGCACTCGTAACGGAAACAATGATATGTCCATAAATATGCTACATGCAATATATCTAATACTAATTATACAGTTATATAAATCAAGAACTCACAATGAACTCATTGATTCTTTAATATGATTGCATAATTACTTGAATATGGTGCATATTTTTTATGAGTGAAACATTAGATGCAAAGTATATATACAAATGTGACAATACACGTTCAAAATGTGTTATACTATGAATACCAGCCATATATATATATACTATTGAAAAACAAGCTCAGAGTAAGATAAGTTAAAAGAAAAATTAAAAATTCTTTTTCTTGAAGAAAAAGAACAAAAAACCAACAAAGAATGTTAGTATTTTTTGTGAACAATAATCTTATTTGTGCACCGGTAATCATTAGTCTTCAGAAGTTTTCTGCAAACAATTTGTAAAAAACAACAATTTGGCATACACATTATATAAATAACTTATATAATTTGTTTGCCAAATGCTATAAGTGGAATATAACGTGAAGGTATAAGCATGGAAGTATTATATTAACAATGTAATACTTCCATGATATAAGTGATTGATACAGACCAAATAGTTAAATTTTATGATAATTCGCCTTTAAATACAAAATCTTTTGTCGTGAACTTGACACAGTGCCGACCATTTAGTTTCCCTTTAATGGGCGAATTTGTTTTTAATGGACACACAATTTTGAAATACATATACATGTTCCTTATCTATAAGCAAAATCGCTGACGAAACTATTTTTAAACCACCAAAAAGTACATGTTTCAAGTATTATATATATATATATATATATATATGTGTATAATCGAGGTCACGGGAAATTGTAAACATATTTTTGATCAAAGAACATAGCTCGTTTTTGTATCAAGAACTGGCGATAGAAAACATACGATGCACATTGTTTAGTTGTAAAATTTCAATTCTGGGGTTCACACATTTCAGTGCACGCGGGCATTGATAATCAATATACAAACGCACTCAATGGAAAGCGCTATATTAATCTTCTATACGTTCGTTTTCCCGATTTTTTTTAACAGTTCAGAATTTATATGATTATGAGTTATGACAAATTGAAATATTCAAGAAAAGCCAGTTTTGTTTATTTTCACTTGAAGAAGTCTTGATATGAATTTTTACATTATCCAATTAAAATATCTGTTTTTTTTTGACATTTTCATTGCAATGAATTAAAAGTAAGACATCTTTATGCTTGTGGTTACTCTTGTAATAAAGAAATGCATGCATTTCCGCAATGCAAAGAATTTACCTGGATTTTTTTTTTTATCTGAAGATGTATAATTACACAAAAAAGTTTTACTCTCCCCTTTTTTCCCAGTGAGATTTACATGGATGTTAAGATTTTGAATACATGTTTTAAAAACCTCAATTTTGGACTTAATAATTACACTTGAGCAAATGAATTTTTGAATAAGTATTTCGGAAACTGGATAAGACGTTTACGTATTGTAACCCTATTACTTCAATTACTAAGTATCATATTAGGAACATAACGGAAATTCGTTAACGTTTTCATATTGTGATTATGAATTATGGCTATGATCAATCAAGCATGCACATTCACCATCATTTGCAATAAGATCATATACTTTTGTGTGGTATTTACCCACTTCTATTTCACTAAGATTCCAACATTTGATATAATTGTGAGTGAAATATAATTAACATGATAAATCCATTTATCATTTTACATACAGTTAGCAAATCTTATGTTATACCAGGAGCAATGTGAACTTTATTGTGTATGGAATTTCAGTCGCTCTCTGTTGTAGGTAAATGTCAATTTAATAACGTTCTTCATTGCATCTCTCTCCAGGTAGGGAATGATGGTCGCAAGATAAACGAAAATACCCTTGTACCTTGGAAAGTCATCGCAGCGCTGTGCGATGCGTGTTTTCAAAAGTACAAATTTGTCATAAATCATAATTTTAGGGCGGTCTCATTACAAACATAATTACATCAACGAGATGGATATGTTTTCTTGCCTACCTTTTGCCGCTTGTAGTTTTTAAAAGTACACCACATCTGACCAACTTTTTAAATTTTCAGATGCATAGAACCCTGAAAATAAAGATTACGGAACTGAACCCGCAGTTGATTTGTGTGTTGTGCGGTGGTTATTTGGTAGATGCATCCACAATTGTTGAATGTTTGCATTCATGTAAGTATAGTATTAATTGAAATATTGCGTCATGCTTAAGTAATAATAAACTTTGATGGAGTTTACATTAATTATAATGAGTCATCTTTACATGAAAAAATTGCGGAATAAATTTTACTCAAAAAGGTAATAAATTAATCAAATGTGTATGTGTTATTATTGTATTTACTTTAGTAATGATAGTTAAATTGTTTATAAAATTAATTTAAACGTAAGTAATTTGTCTACACTACGATGTTAAAGTGTTGATTTTGACAGTTTTTTTGCATCGTTTTGCCTTTCGATATCCGTTGATAAAATAAAAAATCATTAGTTTTACATCTTGAATTTTGCATATTTATTTTTTAGTGTGGCCAAAAAATATGAATGTAGTTTTTGCAATTGCACACGAAATATTAATTTGACATTTTTAAAAATATTTTTGCAGTTTGTAAGACGTGCATTGCACGATACTTAGACAACAGTAAATGCTGTCCAATATGTGATACCATGGTGCACAAGACTAAACCCATGCAAAATGTCAGGCAAGTACAAAATAATGGTATTAATGGTCAAAAGTTCAGTTACAATTGACCACACATTTAACTTATATCTTAATTTAATATTTTGTGGTTTGTCTTTTTTATTTGATGGTAATAGAAGAAAAACACGTTTATATTACAAATTGTCGACCTATATTTGTAACAAATAAAATGACACTATATGCAGGTCACACTACTTGTAATAAAGTATTATTTATGGAAATATGTGTGATACATTTCAGATTGGATAAAACCTTACAGGATTTGGTTTACAAGTTAGTCCCCGGTTTATATAAAAGTAAGTAGTATGTAACTTTTTTCATAAGCAGGGTTTTCAATGTAGTGACGAAAAATTCATGCTTTTTCTTTTACAACATGACATCTGATCATACGCGAATGCAGTTTTGGAACGTTCTGTTGACAAGTTCTGAAAAAGGTATGTGCATCCGATCAGATAAATATAGATTTAATCGGAACCCTCATCAACGGCACGTGTCCAGTTCTTTGTTAATAATAACCCTTACAAGACGAAACTTGAGTCCAAGAACCTAATGAATCAAAGCAGTCGTTCAAATAGCTTTTTAGGGACCATATTATAAGTCTGTAAAATTGTAGATGTCTGCCGATTCGATATAAAATTGATTTTCGTATAAACGCTATTTTTTACTAGAACATTCTTTATTTGTCTATATCTAAGCGCTTTTCAGCGGAGGGTGTCTTATTTTTCTGAATTCAGTTTATAATGCCCTATGTATGCTATTTACCACCGGCAAACAATTAAATTGAATATTACTAGTATGTACATTTTTTTTAAAATAAAATTTTGTAACATCGTATTAATTTTCTTTATTACCAGACGAGATGAAGAGAAGACGAGATTTTTATGCAGCTTACCCAATAGGTAAGTTACTATACCAATTGATAGGTTTTTTTTAGCGCGAGGTTCAGCGCTTGATTTTGCTGTACGATATTAAAGATTGGAATAGCATAATCGTAGGCCATACTATCTCCCACTATGAACAACGTAAACAGACAAATATTATCAAAATAATTCTCATTTACATATTGTTTCAGTAATAATTGGCATACATATGTGCACATGTTTCATAAGACTTTTGCAACTTACTTTCAACTATAAGCCTCTTGTGCGATTTTTTAAGAGATTGTTGATTGAACAAAAAGGGATTTTCTCTTAAATACAAGTAATGGGAATCCCTTGGAAGTCAATGTAGATATTTTCGTTATTAAACTTCAGAACAAATAATGGAAATTCCTTTGAAGTCTATATAGATTTTGTCGTAATTTAAATTGAGTACAAATAATGGGAATCACATGGAAGTCGATGTATATATTGTTGTAATTAAACTTCACTATAATTAATGGGAATCCATCGGAAGTCGTAGATATTGTTGTAAGTCGTAACAAATAAAGGGAATCCTTTGGACGTCGATGTAGATATTGTTGTGTAACAAATAAAGGGGATCCCTTGATGTCGAAAGTAAACTTCAGTACAAATAATGAGAATTCCTTGGAAGTCGATGTAGATATTTTAGTAACAACACTTCAGTACAAATAATTGGAATGCTTTAGAAGTATATATATAATAATTTTGGTGTTGTGCAACAGGGTAAGAAGATCAGTCAAATGAATCAAACATATTATCCTTCGATTCTTTGTTTTGTGCCGAAGGGTTGACGTATCACTGGTATAATCATGATCATACAGGTCTTTGTTGAAATGATGCGGAAATCACTTTTACCTTTTCTTTTCTCAACCAAGTCAAGTGGAATATTATGTGTTGCAAACGAGAAAAGGCCAATCTGAAAAAGGTCGTTTATAAAGGTCTGTTCTGACAAGGCAACCCATGGTCGTCAGAATAACTATATTCTGAATTGGTATTTGCTGCATGGTTCTCCGTCAAGCATGCGGTATTTATTTCAGAGTAAAAACAAATAACTGCTCGGCTTGCAGTCAGAATAATGTACTAAAAGTACTACTCAGCGTGTCGATCATAGAAAGCAGAATATTTATTCATTAATTAAGGTTATTGTCATTAATATGCTTGTAATAATTGCTGAAGGACAATTCACCGATCAATCTTTGTTTGCATGGGAATTCTGAAATTAATCTTCACTGAATTTACTCGTATATACTGAGCATGAATTTCCTTGAAGTTTCGTTTTATTAACTGACGCCAGGTCACTATTGCCCTATAAATTGGGCTATTTTTTCCTGTGGTTATTGAAAGTACCAGAAGATGACTGCTTAATATCTGTTGTAGCTAAAAGCATACCAGTATCACATATATGGAACCAAGCTTTATTAAGAGGTTACGTTGTTGTGATACATTTTCATAACTGGCAGTCCACAATCTGATTAAAATACATATCCTGTGTCCAGGCTTTCCTTATAAGGATCTGAAAACGTTCCGTTCTGTTTTAAAGACCTTTCAGGATCCTCTGATTTTGTCGGATTAATACACACCTTCAAAACTTTGAAGGCTGAAATTTCATTGGCTGATGTAATGATTACCAGAACAGAAAGTAAAACGGAGCGTTGTCAAGTCCATGTTAGCAAAGCTTCGACATAGGATCTGTATTTTAATGAGATAATGAGATTGAACAGGCATTACTTCTCATTTGACAAATGGTACTGTTTTGCAATAAAGAGCTCAGACAGGTTACATTTGAACAATAATTGCAGCGCACTCTACATTTTACTATTAAGTTTTACCCTTGTCCGTCTGTACGTACGTCAACAATTGGTTTCCGTTCTATAACTTGAGTTTGCTTCTACCAAATGTTATGAAACTTATACACAATGCTTATTACCACAAAATACAGATCAAGTTTGAATTTTGGTGGCGTCACTTTAACCGTTCTAGAGTTATGCCCTTTATTAATGGTAAAATCCAAAAATTTTAGTTTCTGTTCTCGAACTAAAGTTTGCCTCAACCAAATGTTATGAAACTTATACACAATGCTTATTACCACATAATACAGATCAAGATTGAATTTTTGTAGCGTCACTTTAACCGTTCTAGAGTTATGCCCCTTTATAAATGAAAAAAATAAAAATGTTTAGTTTCCGTTCTCTAACTTAAGTTTGCCTCTACCAAATGTTATGAAACTTATACACAATGCTTATTACGAAAAACACAGATCAAGTTTGAATTTTGGTGGGGTTACTTTAACCATTCTCGAGTTATGCCCCTTTATAAATGAACAAAAAAGCAAAATATTTAGTTTCCGTTCTCTAACTTAAGTTGCCTCAACCAAATGTTATGAAACTTATACACGATGCTCATTACCACAAAACACAGATCAAGTTGAACTTTGGTGGCGTCACTTTAACCATTATCGAGTTCTGCCCCTTTTTAAATCGAAAAATTGCAATTTTTTTAGTTTCCGTTCTGTAACTTAAGTTTGCCCCAACCAAAAATTATGAAACCTATACACAATACTTATTACCACAAAACTCAGATCTAGTACAAATTTGGGTAGCATCACTTTTAATGTTTTTGAGTTATGTCCCTTTATAATGTTGTATGCAAGCGGGGGCATCATCTGTGTCCATGGGGACACATTTTCCATTTATTTTTTATTTCCCGCTTATGATTTTTACAATCAAGTCATTGAAAAAAGAGAAGTATGGACAATCTCAAATTGATACCAGTAATGAATGCAACATCAGATATTTCTCCTAATTTCTGTTGGCATATTTTTGCTCTGAATTCCCCAATCTGTTTAATGTTGGGAATGACACAATCTCCGTCAAACAATATGGTTACTAATATAGAAAGTAAGAGCGGAAGCAAATGGTTTACACCGATTCTTTGTTTTTCGAAGATAACTTAATACGTGTTTCTTTTTTTTTCTACAGACCCAGACCGACCACCTGGTCCTAGTGAAGATCGAGGTAACGAAGACCATGATAGATTGATTTATACGGAAGACGAAAAGATCAGCCTAGAGCTAGAACTATTTGCAGGGTATAAAAAAAAATCACATGATTGTTTTTAGAATTGAATAAACAGAAGAGTTACTTTCAAATTTCAAGTTTGTTATTGTACTCTTGTAAGGCAGCTTCAATGTATTATCAGTTTTGTAGGTGGAAGAATTAGTTATTGCTATGGTGTTTTACGATAGATCATAAAATATAAATATTATGAATAAAATTGAAAAAAAAAAACATGTTTTAATTTTTCTGACACACGAAATAACATTAAATAAATATGTGAATGATAACGGTATGTGGTTTACATTTAATAAGGATTTAGCAAATGGATGCAAGTGACAACTAGATATATCAAAAAGATCAATTGTCTTCCTATTTGTAATAAATGTAGAATTAGGAAGGAAATGGTAACTTCTATGCCAGTTGTTAACTTCTATCATCTGGTCTCTGGTGGACAGTTGTCTCATTGGCAATCATACCACATCTTCTTATTTTTATAGCTCACTCTCAAACGGGAGGAATATGTTTTTTGCCCCTAATATGTCCGTCAGAATGTTTTAAAAGTTTGATACAAAACTGAAGATGCCGTATTTTGGACGTCGGAGTCTCATGAAATTTTGAAATCTACTAATTCACATCACGGGAAATGTTTTTTGCTCGTTGATTTTTGTTCATACTTTTGAAGTGCTATATTACTATTGCTTTCTTTTTTCCAGCTTCAATCCATCTGAACACCTAGAATCCACGGCGGACAGCGATCCAGATAAGCTCAAGGTATTTAAATTGTTCTATATATATATTTTAGCGTTAAAGTTAAGATAATTTTACACTTAAGATATTGAAATTGTATTAATAATTCTTTTATATCAAGGATTAATCTTTAAATCCATATATTTTTAAATGATTGCATTTACAATCTCCCCTGTGCAATTTTCACAGTTATTTTAAAACACAGTGTTACCCTCTGCTGTCATTTGCCAGGTGTCTCATAGAAAGAAAGAATATGTTTTTTTGACAGTTGAATGGTCCAATAATAATTATTCCCAAGATTGACTATAGTATATATTCAACATTGATTTTAACTATACATGATGTTTAGTACATTTTTTATTCCTTATTTTTTGAAACCATTGTCTTTCAGGAAAAGGATATTCGCTATTTACTTTGTCCAGCAGGTGTATGTGTAGGTCATCTGAAGAAATTTGTTCGCTTGAAGTTTGACATTCCAAAAAAGTACAAGGTAAATGGATAAAACAATGCAACATGCCCCTTTCTACTTCTGACTTTTTATATAGCTGTACTTTCATTAGTTTGTGTTTTAACGGGTCCCGGGAACACATTTTGTTTTGTAGTTTTCATATCTTTTGTTTGATATGCGAATATCAATTCTGAGCTAATTGAAGTGAATTAAAGAACACAAAAGGTCAATTTAACGTTTTTAAAGCGTAATCTTTAATCGCTCTTGAGTTGAAGTCTTATTATTAAACTTTAGCCGTTAGTCTAATTATTGTTTATATACTGTTGTAGATTGATGTGTATCATTCAGATGAACCGTTAAAAGATGATCTTACATTAATGGATATTGCATACATTTACACTTGGAGAAGGGTAAGAAACACCGATTGATATATACCATACAAAATAAAAAAATAGAATGAAAAGACAATCAACTACAAGAAGAGTCGTGAATTATTTATAGCAAGCTTTCAGCTAATATTATACAATGCTAATTGAGCCAGTTGGACCTAGAGTTTATTTGAGAAACTATTTTGTATCTGGTTTTCGATCTGTAATGTCACAGTTTCTAATCAGCCTATTCAGGGTTTTGTCTGTAACACTTTGTTTTATTAGTTCAATATATAATAGGCAATTGTTGGTCATTGTTGTCATGATGATGATATTCAGTGTAGAATATCTGATAGTTCCGTTGAATAGTAGACCCATTTGATATCGTGCACCTATAAAGCATTCGTTTTGACATCATACCTTTATTGTTCAGTGGACATAAGAATGATTTGAAGGTTGCAGTTTCCATCATTTTTTCATTTTTGTTTTCGCTCTGTGAAGAAGATAAAAATTTCTGTGGAATGTCTTCACATTTTAGAGTTATACTTTTTAAGGGACAACAATATTTACAATAAAATGCAATAGAGATTTTCTAGGTAAGTATGAGGTCTTACAGTGACGTGTAGTTGTATACATCCTTGTGCTTTGATGAATAGTTGTCTCATTGGCAATTGTACCAAGTCTCCTAGTTTTTATTAGTCCCCTATTGAAGAAATCGAAGGGGACTTTAGGTTTGCACTCCGTCCGTCCGCCTGTCTGTCTGTCAGTCCGGCAAATCAGTTTTCAACACTTTTTTTCTTCGTGCTTGAAGATATTGATTTGATATATGTTGCATCATGACAAGTTACAGATCAAGTTCGAATTTTGTTCTGGTCTGATGATTTTGTGCAGAGTTATGGTCCTTGGACTTAGAAAATTCACTCAAATAATCTGTTTTCCGCACCTTTTTTGTCATGCTTGAGGATATTGATTTGATAATTGGTATATAGTTTTATCATGACAGGTTACAGATCAAGTTCGAATTTTGTTGCGGTCTGATGATTTTGTTCTGAGTTATGGTCCTTGGACTTTAAAAATTCTCTTAAATAATCAGTTTTCATATACTTTTTTTCGTCATGCTTGAAGATATTGACTTGATATTTGTTATAAAGCTTACACCATGACAAGTTATAGATCAAGTTCCAGTACAATGAATTTTTAACCGGTAGGGGACTATGTATTGCCTTTCAATACTCCAAGAATGCTTGTTGTAGTAGGTTTAATTATAACATAATGCAGTTTTTGTTCCAAAATGACACGTTATTGGATTGTTTTTTTTTTAAATTCATGATTTTGTGTTTCAGAATTCGCCACTAAAATTAATCTATAGTATATATGAAGTCTTAGGAACAAAGCGGACAGCTGCGTTTGAAGAAACAGCTACAGAACTGACCAAATATCCCAGACTTTCTTCAGACACAGAAGAAACGGATGCATATAGTGAATCGGAATCTCAAGATAGTCTGTCACAAGATGAGATAACCAAGAAAGATACAAACGAAAATCACATTTTTCACAATGAAAAAAATAACTCAACAGCCGGTGTAAATAGAATGGAAAACGGAAATCAGTGCAAGATGAATGGATTTTATCATGATAGTGATCTTCCAGTTGATTTGTCCAATCACAAGTTAAAGAAGATCACATGTGACAATGAAGTTTCAACAGATGGTAAAAATGATGTAAACGGTTTTATTGGACACCATTTCTTACAAAAACCCTACACTGTTAATAGAAACTCCCCAAACGACTTTTCTTTCAAACCAAAGAAAAGAAGGAAGAAAATGGAGGACTGTATAAAAGAGAAAGAGGTTTATTCGAACAAAAAGACATTCACCAAGTCTGAATATGATTTCAACGAGTAGATCTCATCATATTCAGTATGATGATATATATCAGGAAGTCTAAGATTTATCAGGGTCCGTATATTCACAGGAACAGTAAAAGGCAGCGATTTACCTTTCTTGTCTTTTCTCACTTTCACACCAGTTCAATTACATATATGAAATGAAATTTCTTTACTACATGTATCAACTTTATGGATGCTATTTCAGAACACAAGAGAAAGGAGCTGTTAATGTTTCCTTTTTTATTTAGGACCAGCTGAGAATTATTTTTTTTATGTTAGTGCTTAAGATGAAATCGAGCACTTAAGATTTTTTGTAATTTTCTGTTTAATTATAAACGGATTATTGTACTGATAAGCTCAGTCAGATGCAATGTATTTAATGGTGCTATATGTTTATATACTATGCTTTGTATTGTACAAATGTATTTTAATTGAAGAAAGCAGCTTTGAAAAAGAACATGATTGCATTTGAAACATTTAGTTTTGATGATCTATGTGGATGGTTGTCTGATAGTCAATCATACCACATCTCCATAATGTTTTATATTTTCTGTTCATATTCCAATTTTGACCAGAAATTAATACAATTTATATAAATTTCTGGTAGCCGTTTTTCAAATAAAAACAACTTTTTATGGAAGGTAGAACTAAAGATTGCTTCAGATAGTTCTATATAATTCTACTATATTCACCTACATTGTATGTGAAATTTTACACTAAGATTCATTGTGTTACTCAATTAGTTGTTGATATATCAGGAAATTAATTCAAAAATAAAGCTGAAAAATGGTCTGAATTTTACTACACTATCTAATATCGATTTCTCTTTAAAATATATCTGTTATAAAAAATGTTTTTAAGCTTTGTGAGTTTAACAATGACTTGTTCTTGCATGTATTGCACATATTAAGAAGTCTGAATTTTGTGATCAGATGAAGCTAACTCTTAGTTTAATTTGGTTGTTTGAAATACAAAAAAAACCCTAATAGATACTGATAAATCGCTCACATGTTCTGTTCTCACATGATGCAGAATTATTCATTACTGACTTGTATTCATTTTGTCTCATAAAAAACAAGAAACAAAATGTTCAGTTTTACTATCAAATTCATTGATAATGACATGAAAATGACGGAGCTACATTTCGAGCAGTGATTACGTTTGTTAACAAAAAAGTGAAACTTGTTTTTAGGAAAAAAAGTGAATTGCTCCATATTTACTTCTTTGGAGTAATAGATACGGATGGATGACTAAAAGATTAAGAATTTATAATATTTTGTAAAGACAATTTTTTATACTTGATTATATTCTTATGCTGAAGGTAAATCCAGAAAAACCCTAGTCAAAAGGAATATGAAAATAACACCTTATTTATTTCGTGTGTCACGAAATAAAAAGTGTTATTTTCTTGTACCTTTTGACATATCCCTTTTAAGTTTACCACTTCTCAGTTGAAACGAATAGAGTAGATCCTCTCTTCGAGATCATCTCTTACAGAGATGAATTGTCCAAAACAACATCGCCATCATAGTTTAAAAAAAAAACCAAATCAACCGTTCTTAAAGTTTTCTTTATTTTATAAAAAAGAATGGAAACATATCTTGTTTTAGGAATTGATAAATCGTACTTTGTACAAATAACGCTGATTAGAACAAAAAATTCACTAACAATTGACATTAACATGCTGGATTTATTTCATTGACAACATATTTGCTACATTTTGACGCGTTTTTCAACAGACAATCGATATTCCTCCTATGGAAACAAACTGTGTTTTTATTTTCGACGAATTGCTCCTTTATTAATGTTAGGCATATTTTATACAGGAGGAATGAAACGGAGCTTGCATTATGGTGTGCCCTCACTAAATAATGAGAATGAGGATACCACAGACTTGGTTTAGTCTATTTCATACATCTAGAAGTTGACAATGAGGGTCGGTTGAGACAACACTTTACGAAAACAAAAGATGAAGTCAGATTTCCAATTGTGAAAATTATTTTTATGTAGCAACATTTCAGCAGCGACTGCATATGGGGATTATATCTCCAATTTTATACGTAATTCCAGAACTTTCGTTTCCTATAAAGATATCCTTGATAGAGGATTGCTACTTACAATAAAGCTATTGAACCAAGATTTCTTATTGGTAAAGTTGAAGTCATCCCTTCGAAAGTATGTCACAGATGACAACGGATATGTTCCCATTGTCATTACCATAATCCCGTCCTCTTTTCCTCGATAGTGATATAACCAAATGCGACTTTTCACAGAATTTAGACTTATCATGAGCAACACGACGGGTGCAACATGTTGAGCAAGATGTCTTCATCGACATTGAAACAGATGGCATTCAAACTAGAATCTGACAAACGTGATTTCAACTTCCCATTTCTTAAGAGTAACATACACTCTGCCCCATCGTATGGCGTTTACACATCTCAGCTGATACTTTACGCTGGTGCATGTTCACACTACTAGCATACAAATTTCATTGCAAGGGTGTGCTTCTTACACTAAAACTGCTCAAACAGAGTTATTACGACTGATATTGTTCCAATTATCGTAACTACAACGCCCCCTTTTCTCCGAATTGACCTACCGAAGTAGACTTATCACCGGGTTTACACTTGCACGAGCAACACGACGGGTGCCACATGTGGAGCAGGACTGCTTACTCTCTCAGAGCACCGGAGATCACCCCCAGTTTTTTTTTTGGGGGGGGGGGGGGGGTCGTGTTGCTCAGTCTTTTGTTTTCTATGTTTTGTTTTGTGTACTGTTGTTTGTCTGTTTGTCCTTTACTTTTCTAGCCATGGCGTTGTCAGTCTTCTTAATCAGTTAATCAGATTTGAACATCGGTAAACTACTGCTGACTTAATTTGTTTTCTGTTTCTCTTTGCCTCTGAAAGGTAATTGCCAGCACATTCAGATTAATCAAAAGAAATAAACTAGTACACCAATTTTTGTTGAAGGGCCAGCTGAAGCCCGCCTCCTGGTGCGGGATTTTCACGCTGTGTTGAAGACCCATCGGTGGCCTTCAGCTGTTTTCTGCTCTTTGGTCGGGTTGTTGTCTCTTTGATACAATCCCCATTTCCATTCTCAATTTTATTTAACGTATGCTTAGATAAACTATAAATATACGATTTTCTCTATAACTATGTGAAAGAAATTGATACTAGTACTATATACTATCGTTGATCGGTAAACTGCATAAGAACAACGACCAGTATTGCATCTTCTAATAACCAGGCAATAGAATTGCTTGGTCTTATTAAAATACACCGACAATGATCTTTAACAAGAATGATATGATTTTCTTCGGGTTTCTGGTATTGACCATGAATCCTTTTAAGGGTAATGCATATATAGCAGAATAAAACATACTCTTTCGTCACACCTGTACCGTCTTCATTATGGGTCATGCAATTCACACGTTTGTATTTCAATGTTTGTCTGCCATTACATCTTTTTGCATGTCATAGGCTCTTTATTTTAGGTCATTTATCGTATTGTCTTACTGCCATTCTTAGTTCTGTCACTCAGCGTAGATCTTCCGATGCCTTTCAGTCCAGATGATAAACAACATTTATTTTATATAATTACTTTCAGATGGTCTATTGTTGTGTTTACCCATCCAATATTCGTTCATTGCATTGCTGGGGGCTTGGGAATAATAAAAAAAAGGTAAATTTCAAATGAACAATTTTCACTATAGTTATGCATGACTTTATACTAAAAACTGAAAGGTATTCCATATTTCAATATTACTTTTTTTTTTTACATAGGACTCTTATCTTTGATTCGGGTCCTTGTACTGATATATTTGACCAGCAGTTTGTCATGTTAATACATTGTCACTTGACGTTAAACAAGCGACTATTAATCAATGAATCGGGTTGATACGCAATTATGGTTATTTGAGACGGTTCATATATATTTCAATTCGCAAGTCCACAGAAAGTCGAATAAGCAGTAGCAAAAGGATATTTTTCAGGAAGAGTTGTGGGGATTAGTAAGATCCAAGTGTTTACATTTTTTTCTCTCTCATCTGTTGATAACCACCTTTCAACACGAACCGATATTTAATAGAGTGCAGACTTATATTCATTCAAGTGAATTTTGGATAACTGATTATTACCCATGTGGAGGAATTCACACGTATGGATGACTAAAAAATATAGGATTTACGAATTTCTATTGCCAGGTTCTCATATTTTAGTATCTTACTTTTTGTTCTATCCTTTGGTACAAACAGATCTCAGTTGAAACGATGTACTTAAGCATATTCTCGTTCGGGGACTTCTTGTACAGAGACGTGCAGTCAACAACAAATCAAAGTGATCAAAATCAATTATGGAAAGAATTGAAGACTTGTGTTCATAACTGCAAACTGTACTTTAGTTTATCATAAGGGGGAGGGGGCATTGAGGTGAAGCGAAGACAAAAAAAAACACAAAAAAAAAAACAAAAAAGAATTAACACTATTGAAAATAGTTGCATTATTTTCATCCACAGAAAGATAACCACATTGGAGAGTAAATAAATGAGCTTAATAAAATTGAGATTGGAAACGGGGAATGTGTCAAAGAGACAACAACCTGACCAAAGAGCAGAAAACAGCCCAAGGCCACCAATGGATCTTCAACACAGCGAGAAAATGTTTGTCAATGTCAGAAAGTCACAAAGTTCGCATAACATTTTCTTTGAAATTGAAATTTGATATTAGAATCAGTTTTATGTTTTCATTTTTTAATGCACTGAAGAACTTAAAAAATATTGATTCCCCTTAAAAATCTGTCATTACATTTATCCTTGTATAGTTCCGGTATAACACATGTATTTGAAATGTCACACAGCATATCATCTTCAAGTGTATAAGGAACAATTGACCTCGTCCAATTTTTTCTTATATCAAAGCAAATACATCCGCAATATTTAAAACCTTTTAATAACCCAAAGCCACAATAATGGCATGCATATATTTTATTCCATTTCAAGCTGAAGTGCATATCCTTTTTACAGTACTTTGGCTTTCTACGTTTTAAATTTGAAATTAATTTACATGTCAGACTATTAATCTCGGTTCCAAGTAAGAGATTTTTTAAGACAAACTAATACCAAAATTGCTTCCATTTATATACAGCAACACATCTTTTCATTTATTTAAAACAGAGTCTCCTTTTATCTCTACTTTGAATCAAAACTTAAAATTTCTACAGCGTCACCCATGAGTTTTACGTAGAAGAAACGTGCGTATTCTTAGCTCTTTCACTCATCGTAGATCTTCCGATACCTTTCAGTCCAGATGATAAACAACATATATGATATATTATTATTTTCAGATTGTCTTTTTATCAGATTGTGCTATGGTTATTTTTTGTATTCTTGTGTTTCATTTTTGCTTATGTGCTTTGTCTATATGCCATTTTGTTTTTCTGTTGACATATTTGTTTGTTTTTATAGTGATTAAGATTATAACACAATGTTGACTGCTGTACCCCTATTTTTGACATTTTTTCTATTATGTCTGTTTGTTTTGTTCACAAATTGCTGTCTGACCAATGAGGGAATATGATAAAAATGAACCAGAACTAATTATATCCGACCAAACGTGAAGTTCATTTACGTTTTTAAAATACTAGATCAGATGTTATGATCAATGTAAATATCTATTCAGTTTTTTATTTTGTTGTCCGACAAGAAATGAAGGCGGCTCCACAGTAATGGCAGATATAGTACTTAGTTACTTTTTCTTATTATTGGTGTTGATGTTACGTTGGATATGTCGTATGGAGTGCATATTTCTCATTTGGTTTGATGTGAGCAGAGTTGCAGTCAGGTCAATGGAGATAGCATTTTCATAC